ACTTCGTTTTTACATTTTAATTGAAGCATAGTATAAATATTAATTTTTTTTTTTTTAACTTTTAGTCCTGCTGTGTTTCTTATTCACCTTCGTTATGTAGCTTCTTTAGGATAGTCAGATGGAACAGGGTATCAGGTGGCACATGTAAGTTTGTTTTCAGCTGAAACATTTGATAGTTTATTCCTTTCATGATGTACAGGATCTATACATTGATCGTCCTTTGCCATATCTCATCGGGTCAAAGCCGTTCATGGAACAAGAAGATGTAGGTCTTGGAGAGCTGTCCAGTGAAGGTACTTTTCTTCACCAAGTACTTTTGTTCCTTAACATTTATTTTTTATTTTAAAATAAATTCAAATTTTACATTAAAGTTTCAAGAATAGTTCAAAGAACTCTCATATACCCTTCACCTGGGATTACCAGTTAATATTTCACCACATTTGTTTTATTGTTCTTTACATATACATAATATTTTGTCTTGAACCTATTAGGGAGACATCATGCTCATGCCGTGTTACTTCTAAATGTTTCTCTGTGTGTTCTTTTTTTCTTTTCTTTTTCTTTTTTCTTTTTTTTTTTTTTTTTGAGACGGAGTCTTGCTTTGTCGCCCAGGCTGGAGTGCAGTGGTATGATCTTAGCTCACTGCAACCTCAGCCTCCCAGGTTTAAGCGATTTTTCTGCCTCAGCCTCCTGAGTAGCTGGGACCACAGGTGTGCACCACCACGTCTGGCCAATTTTTGTATTTTTAGTAGAGACGGGGTTTCACCATATTGGCCAGGCTGGTCTTGAACTCCTGACCGCATGATCCACCTGCCTTGGCCTCCCAAAGTGCTGGGATTATAGGCATGAGCCACTGGACCCGGCTCTTTTTCTTTTTCTTTTTTTTTTTTTTTTGAGCCGGAGTTTCTTCTGGTCACCCAGGCTGGAGTGCAATGGCATGATCTTGGCTCACTGCAACCTCCGCCTCCCAAGTTCAAGCAATTCTCCTACATCAGCCTCCTGAGTAGCTGGGATTACAGGCACCCGCCACCACGCCTGGCTAATTTTTGTATTTTTAGTAGAGATGAGGTTTTACCATGTTGGGCAGGTTGGTCTTGAACTCCTGACCTCAGGTGAGCCTCTGTGTGTGTTTTCTAAGAACAAGGACATCTCTTGTGTAACCACAGTAGAATTACAAAGCCAGGATATTTTCCTGGACATAAGGGTATCATCCAGTCTGCTGCTATGTTCACATTTTGCCATTTGTCCCAGTGATGCCCTTTTCAGTCTCTCTCTTTTGTTCTCTGGTCCAGGACTCAATCCAGGACCAGCTACCACATTTAGTTGTCAAATCTCCAGTTATGTTTTAGTCTGATGCTATTTCTCAGCCTTTCTTTGCTTTTTATGACCTTGACACCTTTAAAGAGTACAAGCAAGTCTTTTTTTTATTTGTAATGAATAATTTTTTGGGAGGGAGATACTTCAAGACTACATAAATATGTAATTCCTCACCATAATGAAGACACTTTCGATTCCAGTAAGTGGGTATAGATGGTTTTATCAAGATCTCTGTGATGCTGTTGTATAGTGGTTTGTGATTTTGAGCTAAGGACATTTTCTTGTGAATATTGGTGTAGTGACCCTTGTCTCTCTTCTCAACAGAAGGCTCTGTGGGCAGTGATCGTGGCAGCATTGTGGACACTGAGGAAGAGAAAGAAGAGGAGGTAAGGGCTGTTTGGTATGACCAGGTCACAGTGGGCAGCAAACTTAAGATGGGCCTAGCAGGCTGAGTAAATAGCATAACTGTGAATTCGTAATCTGCTTCTGTAAAGCTTTTAACAGTGATAGAAGCCACATTCTGATTATTTTTTCCCAAGGGTTAGATTTCCTTTTTGTCTTATGTACAATAATAAGGAAAGCTGCTTTAATCTCTTTCACTATTATCCTCTTTCCTACCTTACCACCAAATATCTCTTTCACCCAATGTATTTTTGAGAAGGGCAACTTAGATGTTTTGGTGGAATCTCTTCCTAGGATATAGTCTTAGAGTATATTCTGTCTTTAAATAATTCTAAGGAAAAAAAATCTACATTTAGAATTTTTGTAAACCATAAAACCTAGAGCAGGATATACTGAAAGCAACCACTTACATTCTATTTTGCTGCTGCCTCTAGCGCCTTCATGTCCACAGAGCATAATCTCATTCCCTTGCCTAGAGTTTGAGGTTGTGGGCCTTGACTACAGTTGAATCTGTAGTTGTTCTTTAGATGGGATATTCGTTATTGCAGGGGACACATCCATGTTGCAGGAGAGTCCTCGAGTATGGGATTTCCGAAAGGAGACAGTGTTGTGTGTGTGCTTTTCTCTTCCCATTGGTTCCGCTTTCTGCACTCTCCCTCCCCTGCCCTTCTTTCAGTCCTCCAAAGAAAAACCTAACAGCTGGAAATAAGCTTTTCTTAAGTACCTTCGTATAACAAAAGCAGTGCTCATTAGCGGAATCCCTTGCTTTTAGCCACCGATGTAGCACTTTACCAAGCTGCTGTTAGCAAATATTGATATTCCCTTCTTGGAGCTAATGAAGTAGTTACCCTAATGAGAGGAAGTAGAGACAGTATAGTCCGAAATGTAAAATAACACAAACTGACTTTCAGTAATTTAGTTAAATGTGCAACTCTTACTTTAAATCCAAAGGCAAGAGTTGAAAGTGCAGGTTATGTGAACAAATTGTCAGAGGCATTTAAGTGAACCACAAAAATTACATGTTAACTGGAACAACCCTTCACAATATTGCCAGCTACCCAGCTTATCTGCACCGTGATACTTAAAGTGACCAGTAGTCAGTACAAAGAGACAGAGTGTCAGAGCTTTTTCTCCACTTGACATAGAATCAGCCCGCCCCAGAGACTTAGACCTGAAATCATTTCTGTGCTTCTAGGTAAAGTCTGTTTAACAACAAAGGCTTTTTTTCCCCCAAAAGGAGTCAGACGAAGATTTTGCCAATCATAGTGACAATGATCAAAACCGGGTAAGGCTCATGTACTCAAGTGACTTCGTTTTTACATTTTAATTGAAGCATAGTATATATACTAAAATTACTTTGGAATGATTTATGACAAAGTAAGGATTTTTTTCATGTATACAATTTATTTTCCTTTAAGCATTTCATGTATTTAGGCTAACTACCTCCTTTGTATATTTTTTTTTCAATTTTGCTTTATAGTTTATTTTTCTTAGAAAACAAAGAAGTAAAAAACAAAATTAGAAAACAGCCTCTAAAAAAAGACTCAGTTACCCAAACTGAACTACTTTGCGTGAGTCCCTCTTCTGTTTTAAAATTGGAGACAATCTAGCAGTAACATTAATGAATATTCACAAGATGAAAACTTTGATCCTACTGTCTTAGCACAGTTATCTTAATTTTTGAATATTTGTCTAAGGGCATATTCTTGTCACAGTGTGCATCGTTTATTTTCTGCCGTTTTATGTTAACATTTTATAAATATTTCCTTATTTATTTATTTATTTATTTATTTTTTGAGATGGAGTTTTGCTCCTGTTGTCCGGGCTGGAGTGCAGTGGCATGATCTCAGCTCCCTGCAAACTCCGCCTCCTGGGTTCAAACAATTCTTCTGCCTCAGCCTCCCAAGTAGCTGGCATTACAGGTGCCCACCACCATGCTCGACTATTTTTTTTGTATTTTTAGTAGAGATGGGGTTTCACCATGTTGGCCAGAGTGATCTTGAACTTCTGACCTCAGGTAATCCACCCACCTTGGCCTCCCAAAGTGCTGGGATTACAGGCATGAGCCACCACACCTGCAAAATAGCCTTTGCAGTTTGCATTGTAAACTTCTATACTTTTAAACATACTGAATATGATACTGTCATGGTCTCTAAATGTATAAGGGAAAGAGTTTATTTCTAGAGTTGTACTTTTGATGTAATAATGTATTCAATATTTTCTTTTTCTTTTTTATTTTATTTATTTATTTTTTTTTTGAGACAGAGTCTCGCTCTGTTGCCTAGGCTGGAGTGCAGTGGTGTGATCTCAGTTCAATGCAGTCTCCGCCTAAAGGGTTAAGCAATTCTCATCCCTCAGCCTCCCTGAGTAGCTGGGACTACAGGTGTGTGACACCATGCCCAGCTAATTTTTTGTATTTTTAGTGGAGTCGGGGTCTTCCCATGTTTTCCAGGCTGGTCTTGAGCTCAGGCAGTCTGCCCACCTCACCCTCCCAGAGTACTGGGATTACAGGTATGAGCCACCATGCCCAGCCAATATTTTTATATATAGAAATCCTTTGCTTCTGTGAACTGTTTCTTCAGAATAAGGTGGTATAGACTTACGTTAATAACTTAATGTCTGGTGGACATTCTACATTAAGTATTATGCATGTTGATTCTCCTACAATCTCATCAGTGGGGTGATTAAATTTTTTTTAGTTAAAAATTTGTGTTTGAATTTCATAACTGGGAAATATTTTTTTCACAAAAATGTTTAACTATCAAATGATGGATTTTACACTTTCTGGTTGGTACTGTATTTTCCTGGTTGTATTCATAAATGTTGATCTTTATAATTTTAATGATCAGTCTTCACAGGATATTTGTTTCTGTGGAATTTCCTATTAAGATCTGTAAATACAAAGAGTTTTTCTTTTCTTTTTTTTTTTTTTTGAGACGGAGTCTCTCTCTGTTACCCAGGTTGGAGTGCAGTGGCACGATCTTGGCTCACTACAACCTCCACCTCCTGGGTTCAAGTGATTCTTGTGCCTCAGCCTCCCGCATAGCTGGGATTACAGGCATGCGCCACCATGCCCAGCTAGTTTTTATATTTTTAGTGGAGACAGGGTATCGCCATGTTGGCCAGGCTGGTGTTGAACTCCTGACCTCAGGTGATACACCTGCCTCAGCCTCCCACGGTGTTGGGATTACAGGCGTGAGCCACCACACCCAGCCACAAACAGTTTTTCAAAAACAGTACTGTATAGAGAGTAAAAGCACTAGCTTATGCAACAGGTTGGTTTTGTGTGCAGCAGCTAACCTCAAAGTTGTAAGGATTAAATTAGATAATAAAGTGCTTTTAGTAACATGCCTGGCACAGTTCGTTGATTCAGACATTGAGAAAAAAATTTTTAAATTATGCATAGTAGTGTGTACCTTTGGAAAAATTAGAACTTAACAGATAAGGCTAAGTTTGAGCCTTCCAGTCCTTTCCTTCGCTGCATACTCTTCAGAGGTAACTGGGATCGTGCTCTGGGAGCATGTCTTTCCAAGTCTGTTTCTTTGCTTTTATAAATACATCTGTTTCCATAGAGATGCTGTAGTGTTTGCAGAGGGGTCGTGGTATCATCCTGGATTTGTTATTCTGCTAATTGTTACAGCTTTTACCTTTTAACTATTATTCAGTATTCTTACTAAGGTAAGACTATGCTGATTTTGTTTATATTTCTCTAGTAAAAGGCTGTGCGTGGTGGCTCATGCCTGTAATCCCAGTGTTTTGGGAAGCCAAGGCGGTCAGATCACCTGAGGTCAGGAGTTTGAGACCAGCCTGGCTAACATGGCGAAACCCTCTCTCTACAAAAATACAAAAATTAGCCAGGCGTGGTGGCAGGCACCTGTAAGCCCAGCTACTCAGAGGGCTGAGGCAGGAGAATGGCTTGAACCTAGGAGGCGGAGGTTGCAGTGAGTTGAGATCACGCTGATGCACTCCAAACGGGGTGACAGAGCAAGACTCCATCTCAAAAATGTGTGTGTGTGTGTGTATATATATATATTTTTTTTTTTAATTTAGATTTGAAGTAAATCTTGTGCATTATTTGTTCCAGCACATCTTTTGCTTTATAACTTTCTGCATCATGATTATGATTATTATTTTTAAAAGCTGTTACCTTTTTGAAGGAGGAGCCTAAAGGCTGACAGTATCTCTTTAGCTTAATAACTAGTAGTTCTAATTTGGTATTTTATACTCTTAGCACACCACACAAATGAGTGATGAGGAAGAGGATGATGATGGCTGTGACCTTTTCGTTGACTCCGAGAAGGAGGAGGAAGATATTGAGGACATTGAAGAAAATACTAGACCTGTAAGGAAGACTGTAGTTGCTATCCCTTGGCAGGGTTTTAGAACCAATGACTTGTTTCTTTTATTGTCACTTACTTTGTACCTCTCTCATTTTTGCATATTTGTCATTTCATTTCCACTTTGGAAAATAATGGCAACCTTCTCAAATTGCCTCACAAGTACCACTTTCTTGTCCAGATATTATGGTTTTATGAGTCAGATCATTCAGAATATGTCTGGTTCCAGAGTTTGAAGACTGTAGTGGTCCTGTCTCTCTGCCCCTGCACTTTTTTCTTACTTTCTTATTTGGATTTTTAAGTATTAAAGTGAAGTATTAAAAAAATAAGGAAATAAAGAGCATCTCCCTTTGAAGGAACATTTTATGAGTCCTGTTCCTTGTAGGGTATATATGTTTAAATTCATTTAATTAAACTGTTTTCTCCTCAGTTCAATTTCTTTGCTCTTGTATACACAACGTTGTTAGGTGTCCAAACTTGAAGTGTACTAGTTTGTTACAAAAAAGCAATTCTTTTGATTTCTCCTGCTGTAGAAAAGAAGCAGACCTACATCGTTTGCTGATGAGCTGGCTGCCCGCATCAAGGGGGATGCCGTGGGCCGAGTGGATGAGGAGCCTACAAGTGAGCCCCAGACGCACTGACGGGGAGTCGGGGAGGGGTAGTGCAGGGCCCTCTGCTGGCTTCATCAAAGGCGGATTTCCCTTTTTATTAGTAATTACTATGGCAGAAGAGGCTTAAATTGTAGCGCTTATTCCTTTTTTGGTTAGTGGACTCCTTTTGATAACTAAACACTGTGGACCCACAAGAAAAACGTACATGTACACATGTAGATAACACTTTACATATAATTTCAGGGGATTAATGGAAACCAGAGAACGATGGGTAACAGCTTAAGAATTCCTGTCTGAATATTTACTCCTGTATTTTGAACAAATAAGAATGTGCTATATAGCATATTCTAGTTATATAACAGAGTAGAAAGATAACATAATAATTCTTTCAACAAATACAATCCCGTTATGCACATGAGCCTGGTATGAAAGCAGAAGCCTTCGGCCGTACAAAGAGACTCTTGAGTGCCCACTATGGGCAGGGCAGGGGGTTCAGTGCTCTGGTGGAGCTGAGATGAAAGGCAGATGTCTTGCTCTTAGCTGTGAGTTATGAGGATGACAGATGTGGAAAGAACCAGGATGTGTATACTTAGGGAGGACTTAGTACTATTAAAACTGTGAACTATTCTTCAAGCCTTATCCTCAGGAGAAGCAAAACCTCGGAAGACACTCAAAGAGAAGAAGGAAAGGAGAACTCCTTCAGACGGTGGGCCTTTTCCCTCAATTTTGTTATTTTAGGAGCCCTTTGACTCAAGATTGTTGCTTACATAAATCATAAAGTGCTGCTTTACATGCTGTTTTCCCTCTGACAAGTGGGTCTGTCTCCATTTACTTTGCTAAAGCCCCTGGGCTGGGCGCAGTGGCTCACGCCTATAATCCCAGTGCTTTGGGAGGCCGAGGCGGCCGGATCACGAGGTCAGGAGTTTAAGACCAGCCTGACCAACATAGTGAAACCCCGTTTCTACTAAAAATACAAAAAATTAGCTTGGCGTGGTGGCAGGTGCCTGTAGTCCCAGCTACTTGGGAGTCTGAGGCAGGAGAATTGCTTGAACCTCGGAGGCAGAGGTTGCAGTGAGCCTTGATCACGCCACTGCATTCCAGCCTGGGTGACAGTGCGAGACTTGGTCTCAAAAACAAATAAAAGCCTCGGAAGGCATGTTTTGGAGTGCTGGGAGGAGATGTGGGTGTGGGGTAAAAATTCCTGTAGAGATTTGGTTTATTAGATTTTACAGCAATCATTTCTTGTCTTTCTAGAATTCTTTAGAAGTATAGAAACTTAGGGATCTCTAGCTTTTGTTTTCAGTAAAGGATACACCAGGCCTTTTCCTGTTGAACAGCCATGTCCATTACATTTCGCTTGTCCCTGTGTCAGTCTGCAGATCCCTTTGTTTAGTCTGCCCTTCCTTCCCCCAGATTTGTGGGGAAATGGGTCTTGAATGTGACATCTGACCTGAATGCTTGCTTCAGAGTAAATCTAGATCCAGGGTGCTGACCTAGAGAATGAATGCTGTCTGCTGCAGGCATTGACAGACTTGAGAGTGGAGGCCCAGAGAACCTTTTAAGAGTGTCAGTGGACTGTGCCAGGGGTTTAGTGTGAAATTCGTCAGACTGCCTCACGCTTTGTTAAATAGGGTCAGATAAACTCCATGCCAGTTTGGAGACGTTGCAGATGCCAACCCGGGAATTTGAGTTCTAGACCCATCTTTAATGCTCTCTGCAAAACACTGCTTTCTGTTTGCTAGATGAAGAGGATAACTTATTCGCACCTCCCAAGCTGACCGACGAGGACTTCTCGCCATTTGGCTCTCGAGGCGGCCTGTTCAGTGGGGGCAAGGGGCTCTTTGATGATGAGGACGAGGAGGTGAGTCCATGGTACCCAGCAACACTCCCTGCAGCTAGCTGTGTCGGGGGTCCACAGGGAAGAAATAGGCTTTGTTTGTTTACTGGGGGAAAAACAGCTCAGTTGGAAGTTGCTTCTAGTTTCATATTTTGGGACATTTTGAATTAAGAATCACTGAGTGAAAAATACCATATCCTTCTATCCTTTGTTAGGTGAGGAGAAGATATGCACGTGTTAATGTGAATAATTTACTAGGTGATTGTTTCTTGCCTTATCTGTTGTCTTCCGTGTTTGTTTTTAATTCCTGGACAGGCCTAAATTATTTTAGGATCTGATTTTACCGTAGTTATCACTTTGCAACTGATTTTCTGACAGAGTAGTAAATATGTAGCTTTAAATCTTGTGGGTTACTTTTCCTTAGAAATCCTCAAATGCAGCTATGCTTTCTCCTGGTTTTTTTAATTCTTTGTCATATACCTTATTACAACCAGAGTGACCTCTTCATGGAAGCCCCCCAGGATCGGCCAGCTGGAGGCTCTGTTAAGGAGGGTAAGCTGGGGCTGGTCAGCTGCGTCTCGGTGTGCAGAGTTCCTTCTCACTAGGAGATGGAACCCCAGGGTTGTTCCCAAGCCTCGTTTCTGTGTTAAGCAGGAAGCTCTTGTTTTTACCTTGGTCCAATTGAAAGTAATTCATATTCACTAATTGATGTCTTGGAAAAAACAGAGTACCATCTGTAAACCCGTATCACAGTCCTGCCTGTTTGTTAGGAGAGAACTCATAAAAAGTCAGATAAGAAAAGTACCCTAGAGCAGTGTTGAGGATGGTTTTCATTGAATGAAGTTTAATTTCAAGAAACATTTTTAACATTCTCTATAAAAGTTGGAGACCAGTAATTCCCCAATGCAGTGTGCATTAAAATCTTCTGTGCAGTTTTTTTTTTTTTTTTTGTATTTTTAGTAGAGACAGGGTTTCACCATGTTGGACAGTTGGACAGGCTGGTCTTAAACTCCTGTCCTTAAGTTGTCACCCACCTCGGCCTCGCAAAATGCTGGGAATACAGGCATGAGCCACTGCACCTGGCCCATTTGTGCAGTTTTTTAAAAACACAAATACAAATATATTTTTTAACATACAAATGTTACTCAATAGGTTTATGGTAGTTCTCCGGACTTGGGAATTAGTGATTCTAAGTGCTGAGTCTTCCCAGCACCTGCATCAGAGCTGGGCCTTGGAGGCCACTCCTTGTGCTTGCTGTGTGGGCTGCTAGCCTGGCTCTGCTCTGCTTTCTGCTGTCCGCGTTTTGGCATCAGTGACTTGCTTGGTTCCCCCCTTTGCTCTTACTGTCTATATTTTTTTACTGACGACTCACCTTTTTGCGGTTCTTTTTTACTTGTTCATTCTCATCGAACTGGAATGGGTAGAGCTGGAACTGTTTGGGGGAACCCTGGTCGTTCTGTCCCTGCCTCTGCCAGCTGTGCTCACCACCTCCCTTGGTGTCCCCCAGCTGACCCACTGCTGTGACTTGATCACAGTCAGCATGCTCTTCCTTTGGAGTCACAGCTCAGATTTTGTTAATCCCAAGAAAAATGTCCTGACATCGGGAGAGAAGAAAATACTAAAGAATTTTAAAATGGCTTGTTCAGGAAAAATTAGTTTCCAAAGGTCTGGTAGTAGCTGTGTGTTACATTGCACACATTTCAGGAAGAAAATAGCAAGGAAAGTTATTTCCCTTGTGAAATGGTTATCACTTGCTTTCTCACTCTAGAGTCTTCCTCATCCAAACCTGGAAAGAAAATCCCAGCAGGAGCCGTTTCTGTATTTTTAGGTAACATAACTTAAGGTTTGTTTTCTAAAAACTACACAAATACTGTTTTTTCATTTTCAAAATTATCTTCTAAAGCCTGGCTGGGGACGAGAAAGCACATGGGAGCTTCAAAGGGCTTTGAGCAGCTTATAGAAAGAGCTCATTTACTGATGGTAGCTCTTATTCTCCTAGAGCTCAGTGGCCTTGGACTTTTTTTTGGGTAAATGATCCATGATTCTCCCATGAGCGAATGTTCTGTAGGTCAGTAAGGATGGAGCTATCTGGCCCCGTAACTGCACTTTGTGGATGACTGAAATGAAAGTTCGTGGTGGGTATAATTATTCTTCTGTACAATCCACAACAGCGCCACACGGCTCACAGCTTGGCTTCTTGTCCCTCCGCCCAAGGAGACACGGATGGGTTTGGTGCTGCCTCGCATTCCATCACTGCCCCGAGAAGCCCTGAGCAGCCCACTCCCAAGGAAGAGGCCCTACCTCCCTCCCCACTGGCCTCTTTGATGATTGACTGATGATGGATGACCGGACTCTTTTCTCGGCACCGAACCTCGCAGCAAAACTTCCAAAACACGGTACGTGCCTACCGCCTCTGTTTCGTGGACCTTCCAGCCAGAAAAAGAATGTTCCTAAAAAGAGACTTAAGCTCCCCATAGTTTTGATCTCTTTATAGTACACAGAATCCCTTCTCTCAGCATTCCGTCATTGAGTCTTGTGTCTGTACTTTACATAGGTGTGGGCCTGGAGGTCGTCTGTAACCAATCTTTCTGCTCTGATAAGCCTGATACATGATTATTTCCTTATAGAGCATGAAATCCTTTTCCTATAATTTTGCTTTAATTTCTATTCTGACCTTTGTATTGGTAAAGCTTTTTAATCTACTTTCTTCCATCCGACCTTAGTTAAGTCATGCCTACATGGTCATGCTGGCCGTTTAGTTCCAGCTTCCTCTCTCTCTGCCCAAAATGCTCGGGTGCTTGGTCTTTCCTAGATGATGAGGGTTTCACCTCCCTTGCCACTTTGCGTCCCTTCTGTTCCTCCTAACATGAAGTCCGTGTCCTGAAGTCATTCCTGTAAATCATTTGTTTTTAAATGTGCAGATGAATCTCCTTGAGGGTTTTGTCAAAATGAAGATTCCGATTCAGTAGGTCCAGGGTGGGGCCTGAGAATTTACATTTCCAGCAAGCTTCATGGTCTGTAGATCACACTTGGAATAGCAAGACAGATTCGTTGACTGCTTTTCTGGAAAAGAAAGGTAGCTCCCTAAGGTGCACAAGATTTTCAGCAAGTTGAAAAAATAAAAAAGGATGGTATAGGAATAGATGGAACTGAATATATTTAGAAGCAGACTGTCTGGACTCACTCTCCTTTTCAAACGTTAGATGTAGAAAGTAAGGATGGAAGCCAAAGTGTGAGGGAAAACGATAGCCTAGTTAATCTAGAAAGAGTGCAAATGGATGCAGAATGCACCCAGGTCTCTGTGAAGTTGACAGTGAGTGAAGGTAGTAGTGCTTTTTGTAGCTCCCCAGGGCTCTCACTTAGTGGATATCTTTGAGAATTGATTTAGAATCACTAGTAAATTGATGCTGCTTTCTTTGACAACTGCTATTCTCTTCGGACATTCATGAGTCAGTGACCTCATTTCAGCAACACATGCCCCATTCGGTACAACAGTGCTTATGGTGGTGAAAATATTCATCAGTAGGGTAAGCTGTGGCCCTTCTATTCAGTGGAATATTGTGTGACTGTTAAAAAGAATGGGGTCTACGCTTATTGACTTGGGAACGTTTTATAGGTACATTAAGTGGAAAACGCAAATGGTAAGACACATTGTTCAAAGTATCTTCTTATTTATAGCCTTTTTGTAAATAACTAAAGTTAATTCATTAGTACATTCTTTGGGGGAATTAGAAGCATGTATGCTGAGCTGTTCCCAAAGTCCATCTTGTTTGAGTAGACCAGTGGGATTATGAGGGGATTTCAGTATTTGCTTTTATCTGCTTTTGTACAGTTTGATTTTTTTAAAGCAGGAGCCGAGCCCTCATTTCTCAGATTCCTTAGATGAGTAACTTGGTGGCCCTCTTAAATGATCTTTCTTCCTCTAGGTCTCTCTTCACCATGTAAGCCAGTCCAAGCTACTCTAAGCACAGGTGATGTCTGCTTGGATAAGCATGTCACCCACGTGGTTAAACTATCTGTTCTGTTTTTCAACTGAGCTGTTACTATGCTCTTTGAAAAATTCCAAGGGAAGGGTATAGTTTCACTTACTATTTCTGTATAACTAATCAAGAAACAACATAACTTTTTATATTTATTCTTCGGGAGAGAAGAATTTTTTAATCTGTGAATTTTATGATAGGATGTTTGATCTTAGTGTAATTTTATGCCTTGGTATTTTTAAAGGCAAAGTCCAATCCACTGCCAATATCTTTGGTGATGAAGAAGGAGATCTGTTCAAAGAAAAAGCCCAAGCATTGCCAGAAGCCACTGTGAGTCAGACAGATGAAAATAAAGCAAGAGCAGAAAAAAAGGTAAGCAGGAGGGAAGAGTTAACGCAGGAGCATTGATCTGTGGCGTTTTAATAATTCATCCAGAACCCAAAGGGAAGTATTGTTCCCTTTCACGTTCATATTGAAGAACTTCAAACAGAAGGTGGAAAGAATATTGCAGTGAACACCCAAATAACTACCACCCAAACTGATCAGTTCTTAGGGTTTTGGCCAATATTTTACGAATATAAACCTTGTTACATACCTATTTTTTTCCTGAACTATTTGCATGCAAGTTGTTTGAACTGTTTGCTGCATGGAACTGTTCGTGTGTAGTCATTGTGACATTCTACCCCTAAATATTTCATTAAGCCTCTCTTGAAAAGACTTCCATATAACCACAGTGCCATGATCAACAGCTGTGAGACTAACAGTAATTCTATAGTAGAATCTAATATCTAGTCTGTATTAGAATTGCTCCAGTTTGCCCCAAAATGTCTTTGTAAAATCACCCCAACAAATAGAATACAGATTTAAAATTATCTCGCCTATAGTATTGTAATTTCCTCTCTTGTTCCCAAAATACCGTTTATAGCAGCAGTCCCCAACCTTTTTGGCATTAGGGACATAAGGAGAGTACAACTTGCAACCTAGAGCCCTCGCAGGCACAGTTCACAATAGGGTTTGCCCTCCTGTGAGAATCTGATGCTGCTGCTGATCTGACAGGGGGAGGAGCTCAACCAGTAATGCTTGCTGCTCACCTCACCTCCTACTGTGTGGCCCGACTCCTAACAGGCCATGGACTGGTCTGGGGACCCCTGCTTTATAGTATTTGTGTGTGTGTGTGTGTGTGTGTGTGTGTGTGTGTTTTAAGAAACCCAGGATTCAGGCAGTGTGTCTGCATTGCATTTGGTTGTCCTGTCTCTTTGATCTCCTTAATCTAGAGCAACACCTCCCACATCTTTTTTTTTTTTTTAATGTCGAGCCACTTGTCTTGTAGAATGTGTCACACTGTGAATTTGCTTGATTATTTTCCTATGAGTAGATTCAGGGTCAGCAGTTTTGGCAAGAGTACAAGCAGACAAGGTTGAGCACTTCCCATTGGATCATCTCCCAAGACACATCAGGTCCACTGTCTGCCTCATTCAGACACGTTTGTCACTTGGTTGTTAGGGTGCCCACCACACTGCTTCACTGGAAAGGATCCTGTTCTCTTTTGCCATTGATAAGTTGATCTCTAAAGTGATAGTTGAACACAGTGTAAATATCTGTTATCTCCCAGCCTTTCACTCAGTGTTTTAAAAATCCATTGATGATCTTTTCCTGAATCGGTTAACCTGTTAGGGAGCATAGACCACTGCTTTTTAAATTCTGTATTTCTTATTAGTTGACATTTTTCTGAAAGAAGATCTTTCTTTTCCCCTCCTTCCCCCATTTTTATTATCCCTTTGGGATCATGGATTCATTCTTCAGTGTAAATGATAATCCGTTACCATCATTCTTCTTCTTTTTTTTTTTTTTTTCTTTTTTGGGACAGGCTCTTGCTCTGTTGTCCAGGCTGGAGTGTAGTGGTGCAATCACAGCTGCACTGCAACCTCAACCTCTTGGGTTCAAGTGATTTTCCAACCTCAGCCTACCAAGTAGCTGGGACTGCATGCACACGACACCATGCCCAGCTAATTATTGTATTTTTTGTAGACTCTGGGTTTGACCACGTTAGCCAGACCATCATTCTTTTGATGCTCAGATTGACCTGCGTTTGGGCAGTGCGTGTGTCCCCAGCAGTCTTTAAGCCCTTCTGACTGACCATTCACTGCTGTCCCGCACAGCTGGTCCCTCCTCTTTCTACAGTCTCATCATGTCATGTCCTGGCTGTGAAACCCTGACTTTCTCCTGCCCACCACCTAAGGCCCAGCATTCAGAACCTGGCAGGCCCATCAGGCAGCCTGCCTTTCCATGCCGTCTCTCATTGCATATGTCCCATCTGTGCACCCATTGACCCAGGCAGTGTGTCCTGCCCCCCGATACACCAGATGTGTCCTCTTTTTGTCTTACTGTTCTCTTAACAGACCCGTCGGCTTGGTGCCTATCATAGCAGAGACTCCTTGCATTTTCTAAATGGTTGATTGAGTAAACCCTCTTTGACCAATACCAAACAACTAAGGAAAAGAATACCATACCTCAGAGTCCTCCTCATCTGAAAATAAGCCTTTTTGAGTCTTTGTTTCTGACGAGGCTTGAGATTTTTGCTGGAAGGTAAGGTAACCTTTGTTGGGGAAAAAAAAAAAGAAAAAAAGAAAAATTAAGCATTAACAAATAAGATACCCAGAAAAGAA